TGCAATGATGCTACAGACCACACCAAGCCCATCCCCAGGTCATGGAGGTATTTACAAGTGTTTGGTACCTGACCCCTCCTCTTTGAATGGGAAGACTTGCACCACAGCAGTCAGTCCTCACTTCCTTAGTCCTGGGGAAAAAAGCCCAGTGCTGATAAACTTTGATGTGATTATTTGATATCCCAAGGTTGGATAGGCAGGTGGATGCTGCCAGAGCAGAGAAGCCACCCAGTACAGCTCAAGCAGCTGGGTTATGTTGGCTCCTACAGGATTGCAGGGGAAGAAACCAGAGTTGGGTTGCATTTGAAATAAGGCTCGTGTGAAAATTTGCATAATAACATGTAAAAAAAAATGTGATATGAAACTAAATATAGTGCAGTGGTATTTTACCAACCTCTGGTTAATCAAATTTAACAACATTATAATGTAACAGACGTTGTCTCACTCATACTAAATTTCCATTCTTTCAAACCATCATCTGAAAGGCAGCTCTACAGAAAAAGTGCAGTGGAAAACAAAATCCCAGCTATACTACACTCCAAATCATCAGTAACTTGTTTTAATATGGATTAAAAAAGGATTTAATTATTTATTTTAGGCCTCGCCGTGTGATTTGAAGCAAACCTGGGTTGGAATGATTGTGTGGAAGGGCTACCAGCAAGAAACACCTGTTTCTAGCGCTCTGGAAATAGCCAGATTTGTCTGTCATGTCTGGAACAGACATATAAATATTTACTTGAATAAACCCCACAATTTTGTGTAGAAAGTAAGAAGGTTTTCAGGTAAAGCCTTTCAGCTTGCTCTATTTAATCTGCAATATTTTGAGTCTCTCAGAGGAGTGTTACTATGAGCATTAGCCAAGGCTGGTCCTGCAGGAAAGTCAGAGAACAAAGCACCAACCCTTTCTTTGATTTTTTGTTTCTTTCTCTTTCTTTCTTTTTCTTTTTTTTTCTTTTTTTTTTAAGAAACTTGCCCTCTAAACCTCATATCTTTCCATTTTCTCCTCCTGCAATTCCTGTCATGACCTGCAGTCTCTGTCCTGCCAAGTTCTTGCTGAGGCTCCAAGGCGTGTCTGCATAACCTGGATTTGAAAAGCAGAGGTTGTGTTGTAAATCAAACACTGGGCAGTAACACCTGTGCAAGCCTCACTGGCCTGGGGAATCCCAAACTCTTGTCGATGTGCACACAGGAGCCAACAGTGGCACTGGAGGCTTTGATGGGCTCTGGAAGGAGGGGTTAGATCCTGTAAAAACCCAGTGGGAAACACACACTGAGAGAAACTCTTCCCCTTTTGGAGTGGGATAGTTGGTTGGCTGCCCTCACCCAGGGTTTGATGCCACGAGGACCTGCCAGGGCTTGGCACGTTCCTGGAAACACCCTGCTCGCCCTGCTCAAAGCCCCTGTGGGTTGAACTCCTCCACGGCTGCTGTTAATAGGTTAATGAGACCCTCGTCTGGCGGAGTTAGAGAGCCTGGCTTTCTAAGATAAAACTATCCAGCGACATTAGGAGGTTGGGCCTCTTTATGACTGAACGCCATTCATCCTGAGTACACAAGAGCTCGCAAATTTAATAAGCAGAATCCATTTCAGACCCGTGGCCTACCATGGCAACAGGAGAGAGGGGCTCCAGCCTCCGCTGCTCAGGCATCATTATCTCCAGGGCCATCTGCTCCAGAGAAGCACAATCCCAAACTCATTTAAATAGAGCCAGCCTGAAATATGTGACGATTTTTCCCAGTCTCCCCCCCTCCCTTCCCGACGGCTTCCCCCCGCCACCCCCTCCATCCCTGCACGCAGCTACACCTCCACACACAAGCAGGAGGAGATGTAATATTCAAAGGGTGAGGAGAGGGTACGGGAGATAAGATTATAGCGATAATGAACCGAGGGAAGGTGAACGGGGGAGGGAGGAACTTTCTGTCTTTGGCTGCCGTTCCCCCCGACAGAGCAAGGGGTTGCAATAAATTATAAATGTATTTCTTTTTTTTTTTTTTTCAAATCATCTTCTTGGAAGAAATATTTCCCAAACAATGATTCATCACCCTCCCCAGAACTCTGCCTCTCTGGAACAATTAAGCAGTGAAGAAAACTAACGCAGTTAATTCATTCCTTTCTGTGTTTTTCTGTCTCACAGTGCACCATGCTCATCATGAGTGGATAAAATGAATTACCTAAATGTGTTCACCCCTCGTAACTGGTGACATTTTAGAAAGCAAATGGGAGGGGTTAGGGGGAAAAAGATTTAATCCTTGCCCTGTAGCAAGGATTTGCACCCATGCATGTGCTGCCTCATGTTCAAGGGCTCCCAAGCCAGACTTTGGGACAGGGAATGGTAACAACTTGCTAAAATGAGTGTCCTCAAGTGCACCCCTGAAGGGGACAGGAGAGGACAGGGGCTATGACAGAGGGAGACAAACAAGAGTGTGCAAAGTTGCACCGTGTCTCTGCTTCTGGCCAAAATCACTTTTAATGGATCTGTTTTATTTCGGACACAGGTGTGGAGGCTGCCAGAGCTGTAAAGAGTGGTGTGAGCCAAAGCAGGGTCAATGGGAGATGCTGGCAGGTGGTTCTACAAATCATTGCCCCAACAGTGTGTAAAGTTTGAGGAGCACTTCAGGCTGTAACAGGGAGGAGATGGCCCAGAGCAAACTCCAAGGAGCCCAAGGGAGACATCCCAGTTGGCACCCAGGCTGGAAAGGGGGTTTCTCTGCCTGGCCCCTCCACCAAGGCTCTGCATGGCAGGAGAGATGTAGCAGCCAGAGGGGAAAGAAACTACTGCAGGAATTTCTGAAAGATGCCATTTCTCATTTGCTTTCTGTCAGGGTCCTCTGACCTCTGCTCACTGGGTCACAGGAGTAAATCTGTCATGGGCTGAAAGCGGGGTTTCCTCGGCTGAGATGGAGTCAGTGCCTGTCCAGTGGTATCCCTGTCCCTTCTGAGAGTCTGTCATGTCTGGAAACACTTGCCTTGTTCTCATTTTTCCAGGTCTGCAGGTCACATACACCACACTGCACAAGCACATGTGTGAGTGCTCTGAAGGAATTCAGGTGGCAGATGGGATGGGATGGGATAGGGTGAAAGCCACAGACCTCATAACTTTCAGGGCAGGCATGCAGTGAAATATATGACTATTCCAGCTCCAATCCATGCATATGCAGTGCCAGAATCTTTCACCTGAAAGTCTTTTTCACCTGACAGGTCTCCCAGCTCCACTCTGTGGCATGTGGAGCTCATGTGGATTACACAGGGTGAAGCTGCAGTACATCAGCGAGACCAAATGAAAGTGTAGAAATGCATCTGGCGGGGGTGGGGGGAATGAAATCATATATATTCATTACATTTATTTAGTGATGTGAAGCCTCCCAGTGCCCATAACACCCCGTATCTGCCGTCATCATTCACCCACAGCAGAGGCAGTGCCTCTGGGACACAGTGTGGCAGATGGCCAGGAAGCCAGTGCAGCATCACAGAGGCAGGGACATGATGAATGCCTGCAAGGACAGGCATCTCCGCCCCGGCCCCGGGGAGAGGTGAAGGAGGCAGAATGGAATTATATATCCTGGAAACTGGAGGCTTTCCACCATCAGCAGACTCCTGGGGTATTTCAGTGTCCCCTCCCGTGGATTTTCGCAAGCGTGGTGCTTGTTCAGGTGAGGAAATCGTGGTGCCCATCCCTGGGCAGTGTAACCACAGGTGCAAGACACTTACAATGACCAAGGTGCCCAGTGTCCCCTGCTGGAGGCTGAAACTGCTTTGGTCACACCACTTACTTAGCACGGATATAATCTTTAAGTGTTCACTAACTCAAGGTGTCAAGTCATTGATTAGAAATGCAGACTCAGCAAACCCTGGGTGATAGATAGCTTGTGACATATTAACTTACACAGAAAGCATCTATTGCTTGGAAATCTTCTGAGGTTGATAAATTGAAGGATCTAACACAAAATCCATAATAATGTGTTTTTCTCTGTAGCGCAGTTAGAAATGATAAGGTACCAAGTGTTATCAGAGATGAATAAGCTTCAAAGTATTTGCAGAGGTATTTGAATTTATTAAATCTGCAGAATAGTTGAAAAATTAATAGGAGCAGTTTTGCTGCACATTTCTCAGCTTTTTCTTTTCCTGGACTGGGTAGTGCCTCATGAAGACCTGAACATAACCAAGCCTTGGAGCTGTCATCCTGGACATAGATTTGGCCAACAAACAAGCAAACAAATCCCTATGAAAACACAATTTTAGCTCCTGTTTAGCTCTTATTCAGAAGAAATATTATTTCCTTTAAAGGACTTTTGAACCTTTTTATGTCCTCATGTAAATTCTTGTCAGAAGCGTCCCAGGAACTGATGTTCACAGTAAATGCAGTGTCTGCTCCAGAGGAAAGGAAAGCCAGATATCTTCACAGAGAGACTGATGCTGCCAACTCCAGCTGATCCTCTGTGAAAGCTCAGCCTGGAGTCACCAGCCAGCCTAGACCTTTGCCTTAAGCGCATGCATTCAATTATTTAACAAGGAAAATGGGCTCCTGTAACTAATAAAATACCTGATTGAGCCCCTTAATCCCACTCTAACATCTTTAAAACAGTGCCAACACAGGTGAGACCTCTGGGAGAGGAAAGCTAAATATTGCTCTCTGCCTCGTGGCTTGCTTTCAAACCTTCACTTCATTCCCTCTCTGTTGTGCAGAATTAATGTCGCAGGGAGAGCAGCAGAGAGCTTTTCTAGGAAAGCATGGCAAACTCCCAGCTCCAGCAGGAACCAGCCTACCACTGTGCAGATCTGCTGGAACACGGGTAATTCATCCCGGATGGCAAAGGCTGGGCCTTTTTATTTTTTTTTTTTTTTTTTTTTTTTTTTTTTTTTTTTTTTTTGGGGAATGCTCAGCTTTTAGCAACGTGAGAAAACCAGCTCATGGGTCAAAGCTCTTGGAGCAAATCTTTCTGCCTTGTTTTTCAGGTTTTAAGAGATAAAGCCCAGCAGGTGGGAAGGAAGAGGTGGAACAGGGAACAGGGCAGTTCTTCACTCTTCAGTAGGTAAATTCGTGGTTGCAACGTGTCCAGCTCCTGGTGTGGGGGCCTGACGTAACAAGCCAGGAGAGCCCAAAACCTTCCCTGTTTAATTGTGTGCCTCGCTGGGCTGACACTGGGAATGGATTTAGCTCTCCCAGGGCTCAGATGGAGGTGGGGTGGCTTTTGAGGAGCTTGGGCTCTGTCCCATCATATCACCCCTCATTGATTGATCTCTTTTACTGCAGATTCTGACAAGAGGTATGAAATTATCATTAAAGATGCCCCTCAGAAAGTCTCTAAGCCATTTTCTATCAGATTTACACTGTGTTGTGGGGGAGTGAGGCAACAAGCTTTTCCCTATGCATCCTGTCCTCTAATTCTGCAGCTGGTGGAGGTGGCTGGAGCTAAAGGGATGGGACAGAGGGAAAACTGTGCTGTGAACCAGGTCTGGGCAAGCCTGGGAGATCAGCAGATACCAGTGTTCTGGTTTTAGTCTGACACAACACAGCTCTCAATTTCGATCACATTAGCAAGAGGAACCAAAAAAAAAAAAAAAAGGCATAAAGTTTGACATTTTCAGATTAATAAAATAACATTTGGATTGCTTGTAGCAGAAGAAGTATTGGGTTAAGCATCCAGGAAAATTTGGGGCAGGCTATAGCTATAAATGTACCGAGCATCCTTCCCGGGATCTATTTCACACGCAGCCTCGTTTTCCTGCATATTTTCTATTTTTGTTTTCTTTAATGGGTTTCAGCCGTGATATTTTTAAGAGCGCTGTTCTGTGCGTAGCAGCTGCCACTGCCACACTCTCAGCCCGGTTGCCATGGCTGAGACACGGGGCTTGTGCCAGAATTTTGTTGGTCAACAAGTCACTGTCAGCACTGTTGGGCAGCGGTGTTTCCATAGCTATCCGTGGAGAGGGGCATCCTCAGGTGATGTGATGCTGACTCTCCTCTTTAAAGGACTCAGCCTAAATGCACTGGTGGCTCTGTAGTCTTTAATGTGACTATTTAGCACCCTAACAGCTGAACTCTTTCCAAATTAGCCGGAAAAGCAAGTGAGACAATTTTTAACACAGCGCTGGTGGAGCAGCTCGTTTGTGCTAATCAAAAGGGAGCGATCAGCTTGAAAATGTCCCCTCTTAATTTAATTCATGGACTTCAAAAACAAGTTTCTTCAGATGCAGGTGCCTTGAGAACATCCGTTTTTAACTCATTTGAAGCAGTGAATTCCTCTCACCGGACTTAATTAGGGACAGGTATTAAAACAAATCGAGGAAGAAGATCTTAGAAGAAAAGTGATTTTATTAGGAAAGAACTGTAGGGCACTTTAATTAATGCCAGAACAGCTGTCCTTAAACTGTTTCTCCCCTATGAGCAGATTATCCCAGCAAAGGCTAAGAGGCCACGGAAAACAAGGAGCAAGCTCTGTTCTAGTCCCTGTCTGTACCATCGTCACAAACAACCACGAAGCATTTGTCTGGTCCTCCCTTGGATCTCAGCATTTTTCTGTTTCCTTACAGTATAGACTTCAACCCAGTTTGTTTCTAAGCGAATTGCTTTTTTGTTCATGTTGCATATTCCCCAAACAGTCGTATTAGTGGTGGCAGCATGTCATTTTGATGGTGTTATGACAGTGTGACGCCAAACTGGTATTAACATAACATTTCTCTTTAAATCTTGTCTGGAAACATATTGTTCTCCCTTGCCAGCTCTTCCTTGTTTCTCTCACCCTTTCCTATGGTTCTGGGTTGTCTTTTTTTTGGTTTAACTCAGCTGTTGCAAAGGAGATGATACCCAGTGTGTACAGAGGCATTTTACTGATCCTTCAGGTGATGGGACCAAGAGAGAGAACAAACCTGTTTGCCCAAGGCTGTCCAGAAGCCTTACCTGTGGGAAAGCACCAAGCCCACGTTTCCCTGGCTCCTTTCTCTTATGCTTCACCTTGCTCAGATTTATTGAGTTTAGATTTATGAAGTTTAGGTTTCATCTTGCTATCACTGAATTATTTATATGTCTTCTACATTTCCTTCTACAACCTCAATTAAAAGGTGGACTCTGATATCCCCCAAATGGTGTTTAATTTAAGTCAGTCTTAAATTTAGAGAACTACAGTGGGAAATACCAGGGAGCCACAAGACCAGAGGCTCAGCCTCCCTGTGTGACTGAACCAGCAAAATCTGGGGGCATCTTCCCCCAACCCTCTCACCTCTCCAGAGGAGTCAACATGCTCTGGTGCAGGCTAGCATAGAGTATTTCTGGCTGCAGGATTTTCCTGACTCTCAGCCCATTAGGGATGAAAGGAGGGGGTCCTGTGTTATGGAAAAGCTCCCTGACAGTCCACCAATGGGGGTGAAACACCTGTTTTCCTCTCCAACAGCCTGTGGATGAGCACAGACACCATCCCCACCACCCTGGACATCTGCAACCCACAGCTACTCCTGCCCCTTGTCCCCAGGCCTTTCCTCACAGCAAACCTTTGGTCAGGTTTGATTTTTTGCCTGTTTGTTTTCCCATCCCTCTTTCTGCTCCCTGACCTGACAAGCACTCCTTTTAGCAGAGTATTAATTATCATCACAGTGCTGGGACTGGTAATTATCCCTCCCTTGTGCTTCCTGGGCTTCCCAGCACGGCTTGCAACAAGGACAGGGTGAAACGGCTCAGCTGGCAAGGGGCTCATGGTGTGTGTCTGGGAGCTGTGGTAATTTTCCTGTGCCAGAGAGCAGGGAATGAAGGGATGAAGAAGAGGAAAAAGAGTAAATTGTCTCTTTAGGGTCAATGAAGAATGGAAGAACTCAGCTTGTAGCCTTTAGCCAGGGTGTTTTCTTCCCAGTGGCTCCCAGAGTTTATAACAGAGAAGGAAAACAGGAGTAACCTTAGTTTGTCCACCAGGAGAGGAAAAGCCCAGGAGGGATGAGAGGATGATAATAATGATGTTTGCCAGTGCAGAGAAACTACCTTGTAACAAGAAGAATGAGGGGAAAAAAAAATCAGAATAAAGACATATAGAAGGGTCACAGGGAGAAGATTTCAAGGATGTGGGTACACCTGCATGTTCCTCTGTGGGTGTTTGTATGTGCCAACTGCAACAGACTTTGCTTTTGGGGAACCACTCACAGGGCTCTCGTGGGCTGATCAGGAACAACTGGGCACAGCAGCACCTGTTTAGTTCTTTCACTGGTATGAACAGCCATGCTCATGGTTGGTTCACAGTCTGTCCAAAATAACTCATACTCACCTAGGGCATCGCATTTCTCAGCATTTTAAAATAAAATTAAAAACTCTGCATTTAACTCTGTCCCCTCACACCAGCCCAGTAATTCTGTAATACCTTGCTGTACTTTGATCCCAAAATTCCATGGTGACTGGCCAGCCAGGGCTGATGCTCCAAGATGTTCATCATTCCAGCACTGCTCTGGATCTGCCCTGGGAGGCTGTGGTCATGCTGAGCCCAGTGAGGAGGCACCACATGGGATAGCAGGGCCAGAGAGCATCACGGTGGGAGCCCAGATGCCTTCCCAGGCACAGTGCTACTGCCACTGCCAGAAATGCAACAGCTCTGACATGAATAGAGTGGAGGGGGGGGGGGAAAAAAAAATAAAAAAAGTACTCCTCTCTGGCCAAAACTATGATTTTTTTCTTCAGCAAAATGGCAACACTGTGCTAGTGGAAATTGCCTTTCATTACAGCAGGGAGGGGAAAGGAAGATAAAAATGAAATAAGCTGTGCTTTCCTTCCCTTTATGTCCTTTTCGTGAACCTGTAAGGATTCTTTCTGTCTGCTCCCCCCCCTCCCCAGTTTCCTGCAGCAGTGAGAAGTTTTATTAGAATTTATTGAGTACTTTGTCTAGGAATTTAAGGATCTCAAGCAAATCACAGCCCTGGCCTGGTGAGCACAGCTAATAGACACAGTAAGAGCACCTTTTATTTAGAATAGAGAAGCCAGGTGTCTGAGGGGAATTGGATGGGCACCCTTTCCCACAGCCACCCTCAAAAAATCAGTGCTGGGAGTAGAAATGAAATCCAGATCTACCTCTGTGTGAAAACCTGCCCATTGGCGGATTTCCCCCCAGTCCAGTGTTAACGATTAATTGTAGCAATGGAGCTGGGATGCTGAAGTCCTAAGCTAGAAAGCAACAATCTGCCCTAGCTACTGCTCTGTTCCATGTCCAGCATTGGGACAGATCTCCTGTGGGAGAGCTGAGGCCATATGTGAGTCCACTGACTCACCCACTGGCTGCCAATGGATATTCCTGCATGCAGCATCTTGGAGGTTGTGGGATCAAACTCTGCATCTTTTCCCTGGGGTGTTTCAGAGCACAGAGGTTGCTGAGTTTGTCAGGTAAGCCTTGGAGGGCACTTATTCCACAGAGATTCACTGTGCAGGTAAATCCCCACCCCATTCATGCTGGAAACCTTGTCCCTGGGGAATTAGGCAGAGTGGTTTGCATATTATTAGCAGGACAAAGACTTGGGCACCAAGGTGGTGATCAACCCTGCAGATAGACTTACCTGAGAAATTCCATCCTCAAACACACGGTGTTTGCAGCTGCCTTTGCAGCAAGGGAACTTTGAGCATCTTCTCTTCAACAGTGGAGACAGCTGGGTTTTCGGACTCGGAGTTAAGGAAGGTGATACTTGGCTCTCAGCTCTGCCATGTAACCTTGGTCAAATCACTGGCCACTTCGAATGAGATGGAAGAAGATTCAGTGCAGCAGCTCCTGAAGGTGGACAGACTCAACTTTCCATGTGCTTGGAGGAGCGGAGGTGCAACACCAAAGTGAGCTGGTGAGAGTGCCAGTACAGCTTCAGCCTCCTCCTCCTCCTCCTCCCTTGTCCCTGTTTTGGGGCAGCTGTGGATAACAGACAGTCTACACTGGCTGCCACTTTTTTGGCTGCTCCCTTTCCTGCTCAGCACAGACAGCCCAAATAAGATCTGGAATCCCCACGTGCCTCAGTTTCCCCATCTGTTAAACAAGGATAACCACTGGCTTCTGCTTTGGGCTGTCAGCACGGCACTGCCACGTAGGACCAGGCAGAAAAGGGCTTTCTCAGTGAGGGTGATCAGCACCCTGGAGCTGAGCAGCTCCCCTGGTTGGGCATCCCCCATCCACGGTGGCTCTGCTGGTTTTGGGCACGTGCTCATCCTTCCTGCATGCCAGATAAGGAACTGGCTCGGGAAACCGCATCCAGCCTCCATCTCATCTGAAGGCAGATTGCTCACGGGCGGAGGAAATCTCCTGGAGAGTGAACCTTGTCAGCAAAAATGCAAATATTTGGAGACAAAGTGTTCATTACAGCAGAACTTGATTTCAGGGTCAACCCTTTTTGCAGCAAATTGTTAGCCAGCTAAAATGTTTATTGTCACCACACTCTGGCAGTTTTGACAGTACCTATCAAGTTGAGCTTGACAATATCTGCATACGGCTTCTCCGGCTTTCCCTCACGCAGCCGTAAGAGGGATTTAAGGCAGAAGAAAACAGTCAACAGATAATTGGAACTATCCTCTTCTTTGTGGAAAAGCCAGGGCTGCCAGGGACTGGGGAGAACTGTTTAGGAAAAGGAAAGTGAGGCACAGGCTGTTGGTAAGACAGTGGTGGGGTGCGTGGAGAAATCTGTCGGTGATTTTAATTTTTTTCTGGTGCAAAACTGTAAACGTGGAACAATAAACTTCCCCCCAAGTCTGGCAGTGCATCACCAGAAATAAGACTACAAAGGGATGGTATTTCCTTTGGTCTTTCCCCGTGTGAGCCACGTGGCTTCCCAGGCCCCTTGGCAGGGAACATCCAGGTATCAGTGGAGTTTCTGTGATTCTCCTCCATTCCCATTTCTGTTCTCTTCTGTTCCCTTTGATGCCTGCACAGGACTGAGGCCAGTTGCACCTGGGAAGAGGATCACACTGCTGGCAAGCTCAGACCCCAGAGGGATGAGGTCCCATCTCTGCACTCTGCTCCAAGACCCAGAGATGGAGGGAATCAGGGCCAACTCTGCCTTGCTGATGAACAGAGAAAAGGGGAGGCAGCAGCAGAAATTTTGGGGAAAACGAGATCCAGGTGAGATGCTGATGAAAACACCAAGAAGGAGTAGATGAGGTGGCTGCAGCCACAAGGCCACCAATAAAATTTTGGGGCTCCCTTTGCTAGATAAAAGACAGCAGCTACCTGCTCAAGGAGGGATTCTTTTAACTCTGCTTTTTGCTCCTGCATGCCTTTACCTTTTCCCCCGGCTAATGCTCAGGGAAGGTGAGCCAGTCTGGATCCACTGTGAAGGGGTTTTGTTTCCATGCTTGCTGGAGCTGAGTGAAGGCTGTTTCATCTCAACAGGCTGCTCCCAACACCCCTTAATTTGAGATCTCCTGCATGCAGGAAGCAATGGAGTTGAGTGACCTTGCTGAATCCTGGCCGCTGCAGCTGCCGGAGAACAGGGGAGGAAAAGAAAAGAGGGGAGGAGGAAGAGGCACTTTGCTGTCTCCCATTAAAGCCCCAAGAGGCTGAAGATGAGAGAGCGGAAGTTTCAAATTGCCAGAACGTAATTCTGAAAGTCATTTTCCAAGCGCAGAGCCCTCCGCAATGTCACCTCTCATCTTCCAAGGTGGGGATTGAAGGGACAATAAAGCACAGAATATTCTGCAAAGGCAGAACTGTTAATTCAAAGAGGGAAGAGGTGCCAGTCCCCAAACAGGCTGTCTCACACCCCTTTCTGCCGGGAGAGCTGTGCAGTCAGATGTAGCCTCTTAGGGGGCCCAGCTACAGCTCCTTTCCTGAGCCACATCCAGGCTGGATGTATGAACCAGCTGAGCTAAGCAGGGCTTAGCCCAGTCCTTCTAAGAGCAAGGATCTCAAAAAAAATCCCACTTATTCAGCAGTTAGATTTTTAATTTGACTCAAACTCCTGCCTTTCACTTCAATCCAATGACAATGATTATTGCTATGGTTGTTTCCTTAGACCTCCCTGAGACCAGCAGAAGACCGTGATGGATGTGGGGAAGAAAAGGTGCACTTCAATATTCATACACCCTTCCCCAACCCAGCAAAGCTGTTCCTCAGCTCCCTCTCTTCCAGCTCTCTGCCTACAAAGAAATCTGGATTAAGGAGTTAGGTGTATTTAACAAAGACTTCGGCCCAGGACCTTGCCCCAGAGTGTGAATTGCCCTCTTTTTTTCTGCATGCTTTTCTAACCTGTATTCTAACTGCTTATCCCATAATGTTTATAAAATAAAAAATACTCAAATATTCAGGCATATAATATATCACTTTGTTCCATTCTTCTTATTACTGGTGCCACCTGTCCCTCCAAGCACAGGTTTTTCCCCTTTTCCAAATTAAGGAAGCTGACACTGGGCCAGTCTTGCTCTCTTTCTGCAAACACACTTATTTGCCCACCTGGGTGAGGATGATGAATTTTTACACTGACAGTCAATTTTTCCAGGCAAGCTCTCCTCTCTCCCAGTTTCAGAAATGGCACTTTTCCTTCCCTGCAGGCCAGGGCTGGCCCACGGAAAGAGCTGGCCTTCTTTTAATCCGGGCTGATGAGCAGAGAGTAGGGGGTCACACAACCTAGAGATGGTACTTTGTCTTCTGAGACAATGGGGTGACAAAGTTCAGTGCTATCCCTGGTTAGTGGTATTATTATCATTATTATTATTATTATCATTATTATTATTATTATTAATTATTATTTCCTGGTAACTATTTCCTTGCTTTTCCATCTGGGAGGCCAATGAGAGTACTGCTTGCTGGCCTGTATCCAGTTTTCTCCAGCTGGGATCCGTTCAGTCCAATGTTGCCATCTGTCCTTTGAGGCAGGGGGACATCCTCTTCCATTCTGGATCTCTCCTAGAACAAATTCCCCCTTTCCCTTCCCCAGTGCACCTTGGACTTGACCAAAGCATCCCACAAGCTGTACGTGGCCACCATTAGACTCATGGATTTCTAAACCAGCTTGGGCATGCAAGAGTCCAGTGACTGCCCTGCTGACTGCCCAGAGCCCTGCCAGCCTGGGGACTGCCTGCAGGACTGTGCCATGTGTCCCTGCCCACAGGGTGAGCTGGGGGGGATTATCACTCCACAAACAGATAATGTGTCTTTTGGGGTCTCCCTTTCATAATGCAGGTGGATTTACATGGGCAGATAGCAATAGGACAAGGGGGAATGCTTTTAAACTAGTGGAGGTGAGATTTAGATTAGATATTAGGAAAGAAATCTCCCCTGTGAGGGTCATGAGGCCCTGGCACAGGTTGCCCAGAGAAGCTGTGGCTGCCCAATCCCTGGAAGTGTTCAAGGCCGGGTTGGATGGATCTTGGAGCAACCTGTTCTAATGGAAGGTGCCCCCGCCCCTGGCAAAGGGTTGGAATGAAATGGTCTTTAAGGTCGCTTCCAGCCCAAACCATTCCATGGCTGGACTCCCTGGGGATGCTTCGCCCCCCCCCCACACCCCTCCACTGGGATGTGACGTCATCACTTCATCTCTTCCCTAATTACAGGCAGGAGGGAGGTGCTGAGCCCCCGCCCGCTGGCGAGGACGGGTCCCCTTCCCCATCTGCCCCCTCTCCGGGCTGGGAGGGGGGGGCAGTGAGGGGGGGTGCGCATCCCCGGGGCGGGGGCGGGGGGGACCGGATTGGCCGCCGAGTGCGCTGCGGGGATTTTGCGGCGCGGCCCCATTGGCCGCCACCGCCCATAAGTTTTTGCTCCGGACGGGAACTTTTCCCAGGGATGATGGAGTAACCCCGAGCGGCTCCGCGCCCGCTCCCCCAGCCGCCCCGGGCCAGGCAGCCACCGCCACCCGGCAAGGATGAAGCTCTGCGGGACCTTCCTCGGTTCGTAGCCGTTCGCCGGAGGATGGGAGGGGTGGGGTGTGAGCGTAGGGAGGCTGTTCCTTACTGTGTCTCCTGCGTTTCTCCTCTGAAACACTTGAGCTGCTTAATTCTGCCTGAGTCACGCCTTGGCAAAGGGGCTTGGTTGCCGTGAGGGGGGAGGATCGCGGACTCACAAATTACCCCGTCTCTCCTAGTTTTATATTTTCCTCCCCAGTGCCGTGGCAGAAAGGGGTTTCCGAGCGTGTTTCGGAGCGGAGTTTTCCCGTGTTTGCGTTCAGCAAGCGGGGTCCGGGTCTCACCCCCGCCCCTCCTCGCTTTGCTCCGGGCTCGGCTGCGAAAGGTTCCAGGTTGCGGGGGGTGCGAGGCCCCCGGTGCTGCTGCTCCGAGGCACCGGCGGAGCTTTGTCCCCGCTGCCGCGGGTTTCACCTAATTACAAAGGACGAGGAGCGAAGGGGAGGGTGGTGAGGAGAAAATCCTGTTTTCTGCAGCTTCTGGTCACAGTTCTGCTGGGGAAGGGGGTGATGGTTTGATTTGGCTTTGTGTGTGCGTCCCCCCTCTTCCCCCTCCGCACGTTGTTGGATAATAAAGGGATGTGTGTGTGTGGGGGGGGATGCTATTAAATAAAAAGTTAGTTCGTGCCTGTTCAGCCGGTGTGTGTTTCAGTGCCCGCATTAACTGAGGCACAAAGGAGGAAGTTTTGGGATAATGCGAGGTGCCTTTTGCAAACGATGGTGATTGCTCCAATTGTTGTTCTTCAGGGAGAAAAGAGCTCTAGATTTGGGTTAGACAAAGGCATTGCCTTTTCGGGAAAGGAACCGCCCAAATCGGGGAGAAGGGGCGCGCTGGAGAGCGAGCAAAGGGTTATTAAAAGTTTTTTGTGCCTGTGCATGTTGTTCCATCTGCCAGGGGCCTGTAGTGGGCAGGTTTCTCTGCAACCCTTCAGCTGTTCCATATACAATATTAATGCTGGCCATTTCTATTCGGCATACAACAGCACTAATTGTAGTCTGAGGCATTAAGGCAGCCAGCCCATCTGCATAGAAGCTTTCAGAAAGAAACAAGGAGGGGAAAAAAAAAAAATCTTTCACCCCCAGCTGGTAACCGGAGAAGTTGGTGCCAATTACGAATGCGTAAAGTTTGAGATCTAATTTTCTTTGAAACAGACTCAAAGAAGCCAATGGAACAGAGTGCGGTGGGTTTATGTCTGTGTTTACACAGGCAAATGGAGTTTTATTTTAAATAAATTTAAACTTGAAGCGCTTGATCTGAAAACACGAGTACAGTAAGATTAAAAAAAAAATAGAAAAGGCATGTAGAGCAGTGAAGGGGAGGGGCGTGAAGGGACTCTACTTGTAAAAATCCTCTCTAGGTTTAGCTCCGCTGGAGCCCCGCAGACAGGGACCCTCAGAGCCCGTGTCTCAACACCCTGAAGATGAAAATATGTGAACATTTATTTTATACCTCTCTGCTGCACGGCTCCCTTTAGGGAAGAGACAGCTCTTTCAGACCTGGAAACACGCGATAATTATGTGCTCTCTGAAAACAGCTGTAAAGTGACTCTGGAGAGACTGGGGGGGAGGGAGGGAGAACATAAAAAAAAAAAAAAAAAAGGTTGAAAAATGCTTAAAAAGATGGAAACTGCGCTGAGGAGGGAGCGGGTGGAGCTGTCCGTGGTGCTGACCCGTCGCCGCTCTGGAGCCCACGCGTGGCCTCGCGTACCCCCACGGGCTCCTCCGGCATGGGGGGAGCGCCTGTTGGCCTGAGACGGAGGTCTTCGAGGGTAGGGAGGGGCTTGGGGGCGCGAGATGGGAATTCCTGCCGCTGCCGAAGTTGGTGGTGGTGCGAAACTCGGAGGAAAGCGCCGCTTGTTTGCGGCGTGTGGGGAGATTTTGGGAAGGAACGGAGAGAAGTCTGGCGAGTTTGGGAACAAAGAAAAGCCAAACACCCTCTCGCAGCCCAGAGCTCGGGAGAGTGGTATCAAAGCTGTCAGCTGCCTTAGGGCTTCTAGGTGCGTCGCGTGTTAATAAATGCAACAACAGCAATAATAAAATTCATCTCTTAACGCTTGGAGAGGCACATGTGTGCGCTCACATCCGTGCAGTGTGCGCGTGCACCAATTTATGTGGAAGCACACACAAGTAAACACACTTCCCTCCTGCCTTCCAGCCGATCTATTGTGCTTTTGTTTCTCAAGTTTTAGCATTACGTCTCCAAATGAAATAGCGGTGGAGAGGAGCAGGCAGCATTGTGAGCACAGAGGAGCGGAGTCCACCCAGCCCTCCCTTTGATTCTATCGCGGGTGCAGAACAATGGAGATGCAGTGTAGCACCAGGCCTGCTGCCTGCAGATAAGAGTTTAATAGAATTTCTGAATGCCAAAGGTTTAGGATGTAAAATATCCCTATCTTCGTGGCGTGTCCAAAGGAGATAGAAAACAGCTTTTCAGGAGTACTCTCTGCTGAATATCTCCTTTATGTTAATGGTTTAGGAGCACATCAGGCTGGCAAGCCATGGAAATGGGCATCATAAGAATCTCCAAAGCGGCCTCAACAGTTTAAAATTAGTATTTCCATCACCCACTCCCCAGTAAAATGCCTGAGATGGGAAATGGAATCACTCCTGCCACGTGCCCTGTGACGGTCCGTGGGTGAGATGGGGTTGCTGCCAGGCAGGTGTCCAGCTTTGGGCAGCTGGAGAGGCTTTTCCTGCTCCTGCCTGCACCTGACCTGACCAGGGCAGGGGTGAACTGGAGAGGTGTCTGGGGCCTGTGTGGCTCTGTAGCTGGAGTTTTCCACAGGGGAGCACATCCCCAGCAGGATTTAGCTTTTCCTGCCAGGCTCTACCTCTGCTCTGTCGGCTCTCTAAGGACTCCTGGGGTCTTTTTACATTTGTGAGCTCCTGCATCTTTTTGGAAATCTTCATTAAGGTGACAGTGAAGCCTTAATTGTCTCGGTGATGCTGGGGGTGGCACGAGGGTGCAGGGAAAAGCGATGGGTAGAAAAGTGTGTGTGTGTCCCCCCATCCCCGTGGGGCTGCAGCCTGCCTGTATTTTCCCCCACTATTTCCAAAAAGTTGTAATCTAAGTGCTAATGCTCTGATCTGTCAGGGGGCATGGATGGGATGTGCTAATGCCCTTCCTGCCACACGGTGCCAGGGTCTCTCCCCAGAGCCTCCCTCCCTCCAACTCGGAGAAGACTTTTTCCTCCCAGAAGTGGCCAGATCTCCATCAAACAGAGCATTTTCAAGGAAAAATGATGAAAAGTGTGACTCTTTCTGGGAGGAAAAGATGCATAATGCAGGAACATGCACTTTTCTCACTTAAAAAGTCTCCACACTATTTTAGTCACTATCTTCTGTTAGGACTTTTCCTTATGTTGTTCTTCCCATCACGAAGTCCAGAATGTAACCACCTGGGCTATGATCTCTCTTTCCCGGAGTGAGGTGTTGTCTGCTGGGAATGCGTTGTGTCATCATTATTTTTTTTTTTCCTTTTTTAAGGGGAAGGGGAAAAAAAAATAAAATATTTATACACCTTTTAACCACTCACTTTTGAATATGTATATCAGCTAATATGCAATACTTCCAGGTTCATAGAGGCGATAAATTTCCCAGTCTGTTCTTTATGGTGATAGGTCATCTTCCTAACCACCAATAAATATTGTAAAGTACTTTCGCTGGAGCTGTGCTAACCCAGGGCATCTGTCACTCGCTGCTTGCTGCTATTAGGAATTATTGGGCCGTACCACGCTTCGGGATGCGCGGGGGGGACACGGCACGGCGCTTGTCGCGCTCGCCGTCCTTTTGTGTTGCTGCTATCAAAGGAGCCCCGAGCCTCGTGCATATTAATTATGAATCAGCTCGGGTAAAATCATTCACCTTCTGCTGGGTCTTGGGGAGGGGGGGAGTGCGAGGAGAGAGGGGCTGGCGGGGCTGGGAGAGCCCCAACTCTCTGTGCACTCAAGGCAGCAGCTCCATCTCTCTCGCTCGCTCTCTTTGATGCTATACTGTAAATTTATTTCACCTCAGAGAGTAAACAGATATATTGCAACCCCAAGGGTTCATGGGTAGTGTATTTACAAAGGGAAGGCGCAGCAAGCCCCCTCTGTGCCATTTCCATTAATGAGAGCGGTCATTAAGTAAATGAGACATTGCCTTTAGCAGGCTTAAGAGTTCACACACTAAGGAGTATCAGATATTTAATTGAAACCAACAACCCGTCTTACACGCGTGTTACTGGTGTAGGGAAGTGGGCTGCCCTCCAAGAACTCTCCCCCCACAACCTCCCCCATGCAAATTTCATGATTGGTTTCCGTGATGTCATTTTGTAAAGGGGCAGACAATAGCTGTGGGGAAAGGTAAGTCAATATTATGTTCTTTCGCTGACAAAGGCAGATAATGCTGGTTTTTTTCTTTTCTTTTTTTTTTTTCCTCTTGTTCTTTTTTCTTTTTTTTTTCCCCTCTCCCCTCCCCTCCCTTGGATTGAGACAGAGGGGAAAGGCTTTCGGAGCTCACAGTTGATGTAAACAGACGCAGGCGTTTCGCCTTTACAGCACGAAGGCTGGGTTGTTGTTTTGAAAATTGCACTGGAGAACCGAGGGGATTTTTATGATGATCATCATGCTCCTAGGTCCATCTTTACTCCCTCGCTCTCTCGCCGGATGCGAGACGCTAGTGGACATGTTATGCTTCTGACTGAAAAGAGGTTGAATAAGATGAGAAAGGAGGAGATTTACTAAAAAAAAAAAAAAAAAAAAAAAAAAAAAAAAAGGCACAACGTCGCGTTCAGCCGGGAAACTTTCTGAATATTTCTGGAAGAGGATGCTTGCCGGGTTTGTGAACCGCGAGATCGGTGGATGTTTATCCGGAGGGAGGTGTTAGCAGAAGACGCTCCCGGGCGCCGGGAGGAGTTTGCGCCGGCGGCGGCGGCCCCGCGGCCGCGGAGCTCTCGGAGGTGCTGACGGCCGGGCGCGGGACCGGGGGCTCCGCGCGTCCCTCCCCGGGCTCCCCCCACGCCCCCAGCCCCCTTCCTGCAAGAACTCCGGCCCCAGTCCGCAGCTCCTCACTCCTGGGGCACTGGGGAGCCCCGCGGACCCCTCGCCCGGGGACGCGGGTGCGGAGGGCTGGCGACCGCCCGCTCCGCTCGCTCCTGACACTGCCAGACTTTTATTTTTTTTTCTCCTTTTCTTTTTTTTTTTTTTTTCGATTTTCCGCCCCCCCTCTTCTTTCCAAATATTGCCTACTTTAGAGTTCTCTATTTATAGCAGCGAGGCACAAGGGAAGTGTGCCATGTTTGTGGATTTCTCTCTATACGTTGACCACGACAGAAATCTGCGTGTTCTTATTTTTAGCTTGCTCGGAAGAGGCTTTGCTTGGCTAATCTCTTTATCAATTTTAGCAAAGTTTGTTGCCGTTGTTGTTTCGTGGGTAATTTGGGGAGGGAGCGAGGGGCAGGGGGCTGGTGCCTGAGGATGTGCTTGCGCTGCGATCGACCCCGGCGAGTTAGGCTGAGTTTGGGGCGCAGTTTGCCCGCGGGTAGGACCAACCCTCCTCGGGGAGGGGGCCCCAAAAGGGGGACTCGGCACCCTCCGAGGCTCTCCCACGCGAAAGGGCAGGTCGTGGGGATCAGCCCTCTCGGAGCAGGAGGCTTGGGGCATGCCAACCTCCCCAGAGCCGGGCAGGGGAGAGGGCAGGCTGCCCTCTCACCTCACCCCATCCCACTCCCCCGCCGCCCCTCTCCCCCGAGCCGGCCAGGCAGTGGTGCGGGGGGCAGCCGCTCTCCTGCTATTGTTGAGCCCCCTCGCTCCAAAGAGCCGCTGAAAACAAGTGCAAAAAGCCCCGGCTAAAACATCGCCATCGCCCTGCCGCTACTTTTAGTTATTTTTTTTTCTTTCTTTCCCTCTCTCTCTCTCGTTGGCTCATCTGCTGTTATTATCAGCCTTTTCCATATGGCCACTTTAATTAATGGCAGACAAAAGGGAGTTTGGGGCGGGGGTGGGGGGAAGAAATCTAGGAATTAGAGTTTATAGTTGGTTTGTCTCCCTCTGATGCTGTCATAGAAACCAGAAGCAAAGATGCCGCCTTTCCACTTCTTTGTATGATCCTGTTTATTGTTCCCGAGCGGCGCAGATTGGAGCAGGCGCGTGTTGCAAAGCACAAACCAGCGCCGGCTGCTGCGGCCGGGAAACCCGGGCACAACTTGTCCCCTTCGGCTCCTTCAAACCTGCCTACCCCCTCTCCCCTCCCCTCCCCTTCTTCTCCTGCCTCGGGAAGAACAAGGAGAACTTGGTTTTCCTTTTTATGCTTTCTCTCTTTTTTTTCCTTTTCTCTTTTCTCTTTTTTTTTTCTTCCCAAGTGATGTTGTTCCGTGGGATCCCCGCCGCACAAAGAGTAGGAGAACTCCTCAAAGTTGGGGTTTTCCCTTCCCAGAAAGCAGACGGGAGTTGCCCCCTGTGTCCCGGCGGAATTGGGGTCCTTGTACCCCCGGAACGGCAGGTCCAGCTCTGTCCTGGGGTGCTGTTACAGAGGGAATACCGACCCCGCCGGGGGTGGGTGGCCTCGGTCGAGGGTGGCGACTTTCCGGGGGTCCCGTCCAGGAGGGGTCTGGGTGGGCAGTCCCGCTTGTCTCCTGCTCAGTCCCGAGAAAGGGACCGTGAATCCGCACCCCCTTCCCCCATAGGGTCACCACCGGCCCGCGGCAACTCTCGGGGGGAGAGGGAGAAGGGGGACCCTTGTAGGACAGCCAGAAACTCCGCCCGTCCCTTCCTCCTGGGAGCACCTGCAGTGGGGATCCCCGGGGCTTGGCCCGGCTGGAGGAGCCAGCGCTGCGGGACGGTGCTTACGGTCACTGCCAGGGATGACTTTGGGACGAGATGCCTCCTCCACTTCGGGCAATTCCTGGGCTGGAAGCGAGCGAGAACCCCTTCCCCTGCAGAGCCCAAACCTCCCCCTTTCTCTGCACACCTCCCACTCAGTCCGAGCTACTCCGGTCCGAGCCCGGTCCCTTTGCCCCTGGAACCACCTTTGTCCCCAGGGCTGGGGGGACAGGGACCAGGGGGACAGCAGCCCGGAGGCTGGGGGGCTGCCCCTCCTACATCCCCCGGCTGTTGTTTTATAGAGGTGCGCTGTACCCGAGAATGTCCCCGGGCTGGGGTGTGAGGCAAGGGAGGGCACAGCGAGCTCAGGTGCCTTCCCAGCGGGGCCGGGACTGTCCCCAGCAACAGGGAGCCCCAAACTGGGGGTGGGCAGGAGCAGGAGAAGGCCTCGCTCTGCTTCTCCCCTGTCCCGTCCCGCAGAGCCCCGGGAGCCGGAGCGGGGCGGCCGCGGATCCTGGCAGTCGATGATGATGATGATGATGAGGGCAGGGCTGACTTCGCAAGACGTAGCTCGGCGTCAGAGCAGCTGCCATTTTAGCAGATGGTGCTAAACTTCCCCCGTCCGCCGCCCCCTCCCCGTGAAGGCTCGGCTTTGGGGTGCTGCCTTCAAACTTGGGTTCTGGATGGGACACGACTCTCTTTTTGTGGGGAGCAGTGCACCCTAAGTCAGCAATACCCCTGGAAAGGCTGAACGACACAGCTTTAATGCTCAGGAATATAAACTCTTCTCCCTCTCTGAAATCCCACTATGCTTTTGCATCAGGGCTTGAGGAGGGCAGGTGAGGTTGCACTCCCAAACCCCAAAAATCAGTCTGTGCAATGCAAAATGGTCTCTAGCTCCGGTACCGGGCAAAGCTCTCCTTTCACAACCTCTGGTGGGGATTATTCTGTAAGGGATGATGCCATCCCCACTCTAAAGTTTGGGGAGAACCCTCTGCCCCCCTCGAGCAGAGCAAGGAAGGGGAAGCGGCAGGTTTACAGTAAAGGCTGGAGCCACGGCTGGGCTGGGCTGGGCTTCCCAGAAGACATGAGACGAGGCGTGGGAAGGGGAGGGAGGGGCGGGGAAGCATCGCCTTACGGCTGGGAAGTCAGATGTGAGAGTCTAATGGCAAAGTGGGGCACAGGACCCGCTCTCTGCTTTGCTTTGCTTCGCTTTGCTTTGCATGCGTGTGTGTCAATTTGTCAGTGGAAGGGCTTGTTTTTACGGCTGTAAACTGTGGTGTGGCTTAGTTGCTAAAGCTCTTCCCTTAATGACAAAGGGCGTCTCCTGCTGTCACTTTGTAGCTGTTCCTCTTCCTTATACGCGGGAGCTGAGCATGGAGGAGCCACGCTGCAAAAACTTCTAGAGCTGAGAATACACTGCTGTGTGTTCCTCTTCCTCCCCCAGCAAATCCCCTCTGGGTTATTTGTTGTGCAGGTGCTGTTTGCTCCCTGGCTGTGCATGCTGGCACTCAGGAGGGAGGCCAAGGTGGCCTCAGACTCCAGGTTTATTTGGCTTTTTTTGGGAGCTAGCAGCTGTGTGAAAGGGATTATTGATCTGGCATTAACTACCATACACCCTCTTAGTTCCCAGGTATTTCTGGAGTTTTGGCAGGGCAAAAGTTGCTGTCAGCAAACCTCATTCTTTCCACCTTTTTTTCCCACCTTTTCACGTGGGTTTTACTGGTTTCTATGAAGACTAACTACACTATCTATGTACACGTGCTGGTCTCCTTGGGTGTGAGGTGCAGGGTCCACTGGTGTCTCTGATATTCTTAAGGCTGGATTGTGTGAAACCTCCCATCGTAAAATATTTGTATCACTTCTGAGGCTGCTTACCATTGCAAAGCAGAAGTTTGATCCACAGGCCAATCCTTAGAAAGAAGAGGATCATGCTGTGAATAGAGAAGTGGGGTGATAAGCACAGGCTGTGAAAAGTTTCTGGGGTGGAGAAATGCCTCAAAACACCTTGCTCTGTGTGGGAGCAGCAGCCCAGGAGGGCATCCCTCGACTTCCCAGAGCTGCTTTCTTACTGTGGCTGTTTTTGGGCAGATCCTAGAGGAAAAAAGGCAGGCATTGCTCTGGCTTGTTTACAGGTGAAACTGGGGGGAGGATATGGGCTGGGAGCATGGCTGGAGCTTTATCCCAGCATGCTGCTCCTCTGCTGCTCCCATCAGAGCATCCTGGGGTACCAATAGCCATGCACACATTCATGTGTGACTCAGATGCCTGGTGTGTTTTAGAGCAGCAAGGAAAGGAAATTAGCTGGGAAAGCTTGCCCAGGGAAGGGTGGCCTGGTGTGAAAGGAAGTCAAGAAAGGGAAATGGGGAATTCCCAGCATAGTTTGTGTGAGGAAAGGGTGGCCAAGATCACCTTGTCCTACCAGCTGGACTATTTCCAGCAAACCTCAGTCTTAGGGCAGAATACTGAAGTGCAATGCTCTGCAATACTCTGCTTTTCAGTTTGGTTTGGTTTAGGGGGGGAAAAAAGAAAAAGAGGAAAAAAATAATTTTCACCTAAATTAAAATACTTTTGATCTTTGTCTTTCATTGAACTTTTTGCTTCAGAGAGAATAGATTAATAAACACTTTCAAATGGAAAAACATAGTTTGGAAAGGTTCCCCTTTCATCTTTAACACAGAGCTTTAATGCTAACCTGGGTATGAGCCGGCTGTCCCCCCATTCCTTTTCTCTTGCTTTTTTTTTAATCTTAACAACAATAAATTTGCTTTTATTGTGATCATGCTGGCCTTTACTGGTCACTTTTTATTCTTTCCTTTTTTATTTTGAAGTCAGCACATTAAAGAAAAAAAAATCGCAATGTTATTTTAATCAGACCAAATGAAAGAGCAAATCAGAGCGAGAATTTTAATCTGCCCCAAGCAAAACTGCCTTGTACATCTGTCATGTTGGGATTAGTGGAACTCTTTAAAGAAGCTGAAGACTTTTTAAACAAAGTATTAAACATTTGTGACCTGATTTCCATTCTTACAATATTCTCATTAATAAGAGTGCAGGCTGAAAAGACATCTGTTAGGTCCTATTTGTTTTAAGAATATTAAAGGCTAATAAGAATATTGGAGGGGGTGTATGTGTGTGT